TTTCTTTGCCCATTTAGGGAGGCAACAGAGAAATCAGCTGCAGTGAGCGTAATGGAAGATAGTCAACTCTCCGAAACTCAATAATACTGACACTTTGTTCATTATGTCTTGAAAATATTGACTTCATGATATTGCAAAAATTTACCTAAAATGAGGCATTTTGCAGAAAAAAATTTTTTTCTGCAAAAATAAGTGAAAAATAACCAATTTTGCAGCAACTAAAATGGAATTGGAAATTCCACAATGAAATTGGAAGAGGTTCGTCTGGTTTGATACGTATGTGCATCATGTCTATTATTAACGAGCAGTACATTCATATTGTACACTAGACTAGTACATGTATAAGTACACATATTGCATTAGATACATGCAGTATTATTCCACTGCAAAATGTGAACAAAAATCAGCTACAATGGCATTAAGTCAAAATTCTTTATAATTTATGTATACTATATGAGACTACATTCAATTGAATTCAATGTGGGGTGGAAAGGATTACATATAATACATGTACAAAGTGAGAAAGTGAGAAACTGTACATGTACATGACATGTGAAAGAGAAGCTATTAAACATCAAATACTAATTACTGCATTTATATTGTACAAATTATTGTTAGGTATACAGGTTGTAGTAAGATACTGAAGGTTAATGGTATAGGAATTACAATAGGTTTTAGTCCTATCAACTGGTCAACAAATTCCTGTCTACATGTCTGTGTGGGATATCTCACAGTTCAAGTATTTTCTAAACATGTACATGTACAATTCATTAATTTACATTTCTTTCTAGGCAGCAATATGAAAGATATTAAATTTTGTGTCAACATTGTCATAAAAAATGTATTTACATTTCTCACTAGGTTGTGAAAGACTACCGTATATCCTTAAAATAAGCAAATAAACACTAGGGTAACAATAGAATAGAAGTATAAATATGCAAATCTAGCCTTGAAGTAACTTAGATACCTTGTAGATACTTCCTTACAAAATGACGCGTGGTCTTGCATTGTGACTGGAAGTGTTGTATAACCAAATGACAGAGTGCGTCAATACATAAGGATAGGTTGCAAGCCTATTCTGACGTTTTGACGTGCATTCCTATTTGTTTCTACAGCACTTCCAGTTGCAACGCAAGTACACAAAAAGCAATCCGTTTTTATGTAAACTAGCCTTTAGGTTACTGAAGATAAATGTGTGAAGTCACTGGTTTGAATCCCACTCTGGGCCAAAGTTTATTTACTTTTATTTTATTTTTTCAAGGTCCAAGTACTATTTGAGGAAATAGACACCCGGGCTTTTATTCAAGGAAATACAGTATAAAAAAAAGATGTCAAATGTATTTCTTGTATTAATTCAAAAGCTCATCAAACATTTTACATAGCACAAGTACAACAATATGCATCAGAAAATGGAATAAAAATTGGAGGTGCTTTTCCAGCCATTTTTGGATAAAATATTACTATAAGCCATGTTAAAGTACGTAAAATTTTTCCAGAAATTGGCTGTTTTTTTAGAAATGCCATAACTTAAAAATTTGAGCTCAGATATGGCTAAAACTTTCTCCATAACATAAGTGTATCAAATGTATTAGAAAATGTATAAATTTGAGGTGATTTTAGAGCCATTTTTTGGGAAAAACCATGAACTATTATATATAGTACATTTTTATTATGCTCTCTCGCAACGAGAGTCATTGGCTCAGATCATTGAGGTTGGTAAAAGAGTTATAGATGATCTTACACATTTTGCTAATTTTAGAGCTACACTGACCAGTGGAGAATTGGAGAATTTCAGCAGTTTTGGATTGTTAAGATGTAACTACTTTAAGTCCACTGTGGCAGGAGAACTCGAGTAAAATTGTTGACTTATTTAATTTTGATTTCATGAAGTATATTAAAAATTTATTAAAATGTCAAATAGCAAACTCAATGCTATTGTTTTACAATAAAAGTGTGTCAAAATACAATAACAACCACAGCAACAATAATAATAACAAAGTAAAAAATAAAGGAACATGTGTACATGCTATAATAAAACAATTTATTACTTAAGGAAGAAAGGGAAGACTAACAAAAGAAAGCGAAGAGGAGATCCAGTGATACTTTTCAATGGAGAATATTATTACATGGTAATATTACATAATATTACATGGAATAATAATATTACATGGAATATTAGACATGTATTACATGGTAATGATAAGATGACAATGGTTGTTAAATGTCAAACTTAGTATAAAGGTGTTAAGATTAATGGTGATACAAGTTAAGATATTACACAAGTATTATATAGGTGATATTGGTAGCCATTGGTGTATGGTGTAATAATGGTGATACAATAGTATGTAAGGTAGTGGGATGGTAATAAGGTGGTGATAGGTGTAATGGTAAGATGGTATTTAAGATACGATATCATATAGGATTGGTGATATTGGTAACCATTGTGGGTATATGGTGTAATGGTGATGATGGTACTTAAGTGGTGTAAGGTAGTTAGATGGTGCTAAGGTGGTAGGATAGGTATATATGATGGTGTAATGGTGATAGGTTACATATGGTGCTGTAGTAAGATGGTGTATTAGTAATATGGTGATAGGTTTCATACAATGGACTGATAAGGTGGTAATATGGTGATAACAGTGTGTTTAAGATACAATATCTTGTCCTGGTGGGTCAACCTGTTGTCCTTCAAGTTTCTCATGATATCCACTTACTTTGCTTTGTTCTAAAAGAAATAAATCATAATGTATCTTATGAAGATACCAACTATATTACGATGGTGAATTGGTGATATGGTGGTTATATGATAATAATAAGGCGATGATACAATGATAATGTGCTCAGGATACAATATTGCATGTCCTTGTTCATTAGATTCAAGTGTATCATGGTATTATAATGGTGCATAAATATTAGTGAATTAAAGCAATATTATTGTAATAAGGTTGCATATGTTGTGATAAGGAAGGGTGTAACATGGCAATTATTTAAGATATAGTATTGTAGTTCAAATTTTAATAATGGTGATACATAAGATGATGGTGCTGTATACACACAATATTATGGAAGTATTGAATTAAACAATGGAAGGCAATTAGGATATGTAATACTGCCTTGATGGATCAATCATCATTGGCATATTCTTGATGAAGTGGCCAAGATTGTTTGTATCATCTCTTGTTTCAACCTCTACCAGATTTTTTACATTTTTTCTAGTCTCTTCAAGGTGTTTTAATATTGCACTGTTGGACTCAGCTGCTTCAAAATCAATAGAAGTTGGATTTAAATCCATAACATCCGTTAAAAATCGAACCATTTCTAAATTAGAACTCTTGATAGCGTAATAAAGGAGGGTCTTCTGGTCTTTTGTTTTAGCTTGTGCATTACAACCACACTCTGTTATGAAGTATAGGACTAGCTCAAAATTACCAGCTTCACATGCCCCATGAACTGAAGTGTATCCGTTATTATCAGGATCATCAGGATTATAGTGACAGCTTTTAATGAGATACAGTGCCATCTCATTACGATTGAAGAGACATGCATAATGAAGAGGAATACGACCTGATTTGTCTCTTGGTACAGCATTTGAATGAATATGGTGTCTTAAGTATTGGAATATTTTAATGTTACCTTCTTTAGCTAGCAAGTGTAAGCAAGTGATGCCATCTTTATCTTGTGATTCAGGAAGTAGTCCATACTTCTCAACTAGCTCCTTTACCATATCCATCCAATTCCTCTCACAGCTTATGTGAAGTAAACTGCGTTTGTTTGCATCCAAAGATTTGACACCTTCTGGATATACATGACACAGGTAACAAAACACATCAATATGGCCATTACTGCAAGCTGTATGAAATACAGTGGATCCTTCATTATCAGTAGCTGTAAGGAGATCATGATGAGTAGAACTACCAGTAACTGAGAACAGTAAAGCTTCAGCAGTATCCTTATGACCAGAGGCAACTGCTAAGTGTAATGGTGTCTGTCCTTTCTTGTTAGTAATTAATATATTAATATTAGCAGAGCTGGTCAAAAGTGATACCATCTTCTGTTTTCCTCTCCTACAAGCAAAGTGTAATGGTGTGTCACCATCTTTATCTTGTACATTATTAAGTAAGCTTGATTTTATTAAATATTCTAATAGTTCAAACTTGTCAGCTGCTACAGCAACATGAAGTGGTGTACGGTCTTGACGATCAGTTGCATTAGGATTACAATAATTATTATCAATGAGATACTTTAATACATTCAAGTGACCTTCCTCTACTGATATGTGAACTGCTCCATACCCTTCATCATCAGTAGCTGATAGATTACACTTCTTACTAATAAGATATTTAATAACATCTAACTGATTGAAGCACACTGCAGTAAGGAATGGAGTATGACCATATCCTGTGACAGGTAGATCAAGTGATGATGGTATGTGTTCTATAATGTACTGGACCAACTCCTGTCTTCCTTTTAAACATGCTAAGTGAATAGGAGCCATTCCCTCATCATTCACAGCACACAGATCTAACTGATGATTCTCTACCAGATGTTTGAGTATAGGAAGAGAGTCACTGTACCCACAGGTAATGTGAAGAGCTGTTAATCCATTAGAAGTATTAGCTGCTACATCACACTGAGGAAGACTAGTGAGATAAAGTACGACAGGAACATGGCCTCCTTCACATGCTTTATGAAGAACTGTTCTACCAGTAGTAGTAGTGGCATTAACATCACACTGATACTTGTTGATCAGTTCCTGTAGACAATGTAGCTTACCTTCATAAGCAGCTAAATGAGCTAGTGTGTACTTATTATTGCTAGTGTGATTAGGAATATCTACACTATACTCCTGACTGTACCATTCCAGTATATGAGTATGACCACAGCCTGCTGCTGCATGCAATGCTGTTACGCCAGATTTCTTAGTAGCTAAAGGCTCAAGCTTATACTGTTGTATTAGTAATTGTACTAGATCAAGATTACCTGAGAAACACGCAAATGTGACACATGTTTCATCACTTGTCTCCTTAGCAGTGACATCACATTCCATATCATTAATTAGAAATGTGACTGATTGAATATTACCACTATTACAAGCAAGATGTAATGGAATCCTACCATCATTGTCTGTAGAGTGTATTAAACTAATGTATTGAGGATACTGACTGGTGATATGCTTGACAAAGTGAGTGTGACCTTTTAATGATGAATAATGAATAACGTTCCAACCTTCATTATCTGTTAGGCTCAGACTACACTTGTAATCCTTCACATATAATTCCAGTAGTAAGATATCACCAGATTCAGCAGCGTAATGAATTGGTAACTTACCCTTACTGTCAGCTTGATGAGGATCTAACTGATAGGTAGTTATTAATTCTTTAACAAGAGATAAGTTAAGAGACACTGAGGCATAATGTAAAGCAGTGATGCCATTCTTAGTAGCTGCAGTAGGAGACAAACCTTGTTCAGTAATAAGATACTGAACTAAATCGAAGTTACCACTCTGTGCAGCATGATGTACTAACGTGCGTCCTTCATTATCTGTTTTATTAATATCACAATGCTGCACCTCAATGAGACATTGAGTGATTTCAATATGACCAAGACGACAACAATGATGAAGACATGTCATACCATACTTATCAGTGATATTAGGATCACTGTTATGATTATTAATAAGATATTTAACAGAATTAATACTACCTGACCGGCAGGAGTAGACTAATGGTGTACAACCATAAGTATCAGTATCATTAGCATTAAGATTATACTGAGATATGATATAACTTAATACACTAGTAGAACCTGACCAGGCAGCATAATGTACTGGAGACCTACCATCATTAGTTAATGTACAATTGATATTATATTCTTCCAATGCTTTCACTAGTAATGTACTGCCACTGAGTGATGCTAAATGAAGTAATGAGCACCCATCATTTGTAGTGGCATTGATGTTAAAGTTAGGGCAAGTTCTAGCTTTCTTGAGAAGTGAAGAAAACATTTTAACTGTTTCATTTCGTTTGATAAAATCAATATTTTGTTTTATTCTAGTATTATTAATAATTCCAATACTTGATGCATCACTTTGTGCCATAAGCTTACTATACACAATACCAGCTGGATTATGCATACCTGCATCACATGCATGATGTAAACATGACCAACCATTATTATCATTAACTAACAATGCTTCATTACCTTGAGTACTAACAATATACTCAACAACTGATGATGAACCATACCATGAAGCAAAATGAAGTAGAGTCTTACCATATTGATCCTTTAAATCAATGGATAATTGATATTGATTTAAAAAATATTTAAAAAGCTCAACACTTTTATTATTTATGGAATAACAAGTATGTTGTAGTATACCAGACCCTGAATTTTTTTTGTCATCTGGTGAGAAGAGGTTTAATGATCCAAGCTTGTAGACTAATGCCAATTCTCCACTTTTACAAGCTAACAATGATAAAGACTCACTATCAAAATTTATTTGAGAAGTATTACAATTTCTCTCATTAAAAAATTCCACTAGGTCAGAATGCCCCCCCATTGCTGAATATAGTAATGCAGTGCTATTGCTATTGTCTGGTTGATCAGGAGGAACGTGACATGTGTCTACTAGATATTGTACTATAGATAAGTGGCCTTTATAAGATGCCATATGTATACTAGATACACTATTATCATCATCTTCATTAGGATCAATACCATATTGATGAATGAGTAGTTGAAGGATCTCAATGTGTCCTCCATATGATGCAGAGTGTAATGGAGTCCAACCATGAAGACCACGATGATATGTGCTGTAACCAAATTTATCAAGAAGCCATTGTACTTCATCTCTTAATCCTCTCCAAGCTGCTTCATGTAATGGTGTACTGGTATTTTCATACCATAATGGATCACATATATCTATTATAAAAATATTATAATAAATGATATTCATTTATTGTTTGATGACCACACCAAAAAATTGAGGCTGACCACAAGTTATGTATGGAATGGGTAATTTGACCTTTTGAAGCAAAACACTTAGGCAAATTGGCTAAATTTTTATTTTGTGGTGCGTTTAGTGGAAAATGTAAACTATAGGCTTAAAGGTCAGTTCATGTACTTACCAATATCAGTGGATGAGAGCTTAACCTCTTCTATTGAGAACTGTAAAATTAGAAATAATAATAATTAATTAAATTATCAACACAATAATCATAAACCTCTCTTAGATCATATTTATCTTCTGAATCACCACATGTTAGTTCAGTGATACCAATACTAGCTAACTGTTGCTGTAGCTTTGTAGTTAGAGGAAATAATAAAGAATAAAGATACTCAGAAATGAGGTACTCTAGGACAACAGAACCAGGACGAACTCGAAGAAAATAAATATTATAATGAGGAACGTCACATTCTTCAGGTATCGCACTACGAAAGAAGAATAGGTCATCTAGTGTGTAGTCATCTCTGTCAACTTTAGCAATCATTACTCGTGTACCAGGAGGAACACCTTTTACACCAAACTCTACAGCATCAGCATCTTTCAATAGTCCACCACTGTTTATAAAATAATCCTTTAACTTCTCTTCATATGACGACCAGGCTCTTTTTAATGTACGATTGTCACTCAGGAACACACGAACAAGTTTAATTATCAGTTCATAGTTAAACCATGATACATACTTATCTTGCAAAATGATAAAAAGATCAGTCATTGTTTTAATGTCACTAAACTCTTCTCTAACTGCTTGCACTGTAGATGGATTATTTTTTCTGATAGGACCCAACAGAGCATGAACATGCATTGTAAGATAATTCAAGATTTTATGAAGAAGTCCTGGCTTTTTGAGGAAGGATTCCATTGATATTTGCAATGCATCAGCAAACACATCCTGTAACTCATATATCTTCTTCGCCAAAGGATGGTTTATTTCAGGACGATGAACATAAACTGTATAAAAGAAAATCATTATTACTACATGAAAAGGTTATTGGTGTGATAAATAGCTAACATTATTAAATTTCAGTTAGTAATGTGTTTGATTTGTGCATTAAAAGGAGGCAATTACTACCTGAGTTATTGTATGAGCTATAAAATAGCTCAAAAATAGCTACAAAAATAGCCCATATAATATTATTGTATGAGCTATTTTTCTATCATAGTGAAGGATTGAATGATAAATTACCTGTTGCTCTGTCAGTGCTTGCTGGTGACAAAGCTACCTCATCTGATTCTGGAGTGGCACTCTTTTCTGAGAAAAATAATAACCAAAATAACAGCAAAAGTACTAAAATAATGTAGAGTTGTTATCAAATAAGGGTACATACAAAACCATAATTTACTAGAATTATTATGTGCTAATTTTGTGCATGTGAGACAGTATCCTAGGGAAATAATTTTGTGAGAAATCTAATATTGCATTTTCATAATCAAGTTTTTGTTATACATACAGCTAAGAGAAAAGGCAAATGAGTGACAAAATTGGGTCAAATTTTTACATTCACTATTTGTACATAACGATATTCATCGCATAATAATGATATTCATGTACTATATCAGTAGTGTGACTTCCAGCAATTGGCTTAAAGGGTAACTGCAATGTTTTTTTTTTGGGTATTTATTTTATGGTCTTAATGTGAGTACCAGACCATAATAATAATGTGTTCAAACTCCCTTTATATTTCAGAAGGCTCAGTGTCACATATCAACTGTGTTTGGCCAGTTTTCTTAACTTATAGCTAATTTGTAGTTAAATAACTAATTCTAATAACTTTTGGTCTGCCAATCCGCCCACTTGCCATACTACATAAACCCCTGCTTCAGCCATCTTCCTCGGCCTTTTTCTTAGCTCTGCTGTGCTATAGTAGTGCCACGTGTCAAGCCAAGCTTGAGTTCATCAATGGATGAGATCCTTAAGAAGTCGGACACTATTTCAGGAAAGGTGGACACCCTCACAGAGGATGTGACCAACCTAAAGAGGAAAGACAAACAGAGAGAGAAAGATGGTAAGACTGTTCCAGACGAGACTGAGGAAGATCACCACCGCTCCAGATCTAGGAGCTGCGCTAGGAGCAGAAGCCCCCTTGGTCCCAGGAGACACTGGTGACCTAGAAGGGAATAGGAGATCAACCTCTCACGAAATGACCTCGGAGAGGTCTTGGGGGGATAGAGACCCGGCGGAGCCCACAGATCTTCTCTTTACCTCACTACTCGGACGAGGAAGATGGGGTTGAATTGATTGAAGTCTTGGAGGGGACTCATAGATTCTTGAAGACAGTATGCATACGGAGTATGTCGAATGAACTCCGGAGGAAGAAGTGGAGCGTTTACAAGTTCCCCAAGGTGCCAGCTACTATAACCCCAAAGGTGGACCAGGTCATAAAGTCTTTGGCTTCACAATCTGCCAAATTGACCAACAGAGAGCTGGCCCGATTGCAAACTTCGTTTTAGACTCCATGGCTCCCGTCTGCCTTGATGGAGATGATATCCCACGAGCCAGACAGGGTGTCTATCGAGGATATAAAGATTGCCACATCAACAGCTACTGAGCTAATTGGTAACACGTCAGCACAGATATGCCACCTCAGAAGAGAAAAACTGATGCAATCCATCAATAAGAACCTGCTCCCCTTGGTCAAAGAGGATGGAGACTTCCTTGAAGCTCCTCCCAACCTTTTCAGTGCTGACTTTTCGAAGCGTGCCAAGGACCACTTGGATCAAGTGAAATCACTCAAAGCAGTATCACTCCTAACTAAACATATCCCCCAGATACAGAGCTCCGGCAACAAGCCAGCTCATGTTTTTCGGAGAGGCAGGGAGAGGCCAGGCCAGTGGAAGGGGTGGAGGCCCCACATTCTCACAAAAGAGTCGTTCAGGGGAAAGACCTCCCTGTCACTAGTCCAGAAACTCTCTCAGAAACAACACACACGTTTGTTCAATAAAAGTATTTCAAAATACTCAGTCAATACAAAATGCAATTGTAGCCAAGGGCATCATACCTCTGCAAAAGCAATCAAGTCCAGCCGGACGGCTGGCATACTTTATAGCCAATTGGCAAAAACTAACAAAGGACCGGTGGGTCCTAAATACAGTATTGGGGTACAAGATAGAATTCATCTCAGAACCCTGCCAGTACCAGAGACCCTTCCCAACCCAATTAAATCAGGACCAGCAAAAGCTGGTGTCTCAGGAGATCACAGAAATGATCTCAAAAGGGGCAGTATTAGAGATACAAGCCCCACAAGAGGGGAGTTTTTTCTCCACCCTCTTTCTAGTACCAAATAAAGATGACGGCCAGAGGCCTGTAATAAATCTAAAAAACCTCAATTCATTCATAAATGCCCCACACTTCACGATGGAGGGAATACATACCCTCAAAAGCCTACTCAGGAAAGGAGATTGGCTTGTGAAGATAGACTTGAAGGATGCTTATTTTTCAATCCCCATAAAATAACAACACAGGAATTTCCTGTTTTTCCAATTCGAAAACAAAGTCTACCAGACTACCAGTTCAACTGCCTCCCATTCAGCCTGGCCTCAGCCCCATGGGTCTTTACCAAGACCCTAAAGCTGATAGCAGCTCTCGGACAGGAGCTGGGGATACAGTTGGCAGTCTACATAGACAACATTCTCCTAATGGCAGAGACCAAGGAGAAGGCCAGCGACCATGCATCAGGCCTGATACACCTTTTCCAATGCCCAGGGTTCACAATAAATTTGGAGAAGACAATACTACAACCATCCCAGTGCCTAGAATTCCTAGGTTTTATGGTAGATACCATCAAGATGAAGCTGAGTCTCCCAACTCAAAAAAAAAAAGATTCGGGCGGAGTCTCGACAACTATTGGGGATGGAGCATGTAACATGTCGCGCCCTCTCAAGGTTAATTGGCAAAATGAATGCCACAAACCAGCTCCTCTTTTCTACAGGAGCCTACAGATAGACCTGGCATCAGCCCTCAGGGAAGGGAACCAGGATTACGAGACAACCCTTGCTCTGTCTCCCAACAGCAAGGAGGAACTAATCTGGTGGGACACACAGATGATAAATTGGAATGGCAAAATGCTACTGACAACGGAGCCAGACCTGATCATAGAATCAGATGCCTCAACCCAAGGCTGGGGTGCCTCTCATCAGGGCTCCAGCACTGGAGGACCCTGGTCTCCCCAGGAGAGGGAGTGTCATACAAACTGTCTGGAACTGTTAGCGGTGACTCTAGTTCTAAAGACATTGCCAAAAACAAGACAGGAATGTCAGTATTAATGAAGATAGACAACACGACAGCAGTTGCCTATATCAACAATCAGGGTGGGACAGTATCCAAAGAGTTGATATCCCTGACCAGGAACCTATGGATGTGTTGTCTGGAGAGGAACATCCGCATTCAAGCTCAGCACCTACCTGGTGTATTAAACCAGGCGGCAGACAGGGAATCGAGGTCCATGAGGGACAGGTCAGATTGGAGTCTAGATCACTCAACATTTCAAAAAATCAACAGGGTCTATGGGCCACTGGAAGGGGACTTATTTGCATCAAGACTAACCAATCAGTGTCAACGTTACTTCAGTTGGCGGCCAGATCCGTTTGCAGAGGCAACCTCCAGGACTGGACAATAATAAAAGGCTTTGCCAATCCCCCCTGGAACCTGATATCCAGAGTATTAACGAAAACACAAGCACAGGGGACAGATATAATTCTGGTAGCCCCTGTCTGGAAGACACAGCTGTGGTATCCCCTCCTATTGTCATTAATAGCAGATTGGCCATGGCTACAGAGACCCAATATAAAGTCAATACCCATAATGCCCCAATTAGCCGTTTGGAGCATCTCAGGGAAAGCCTTAGCAATTAAGGCCTTTCAGGACAAGCTACTGATCTCATCATTGACTCTTGGAGATCGAAGACTAGTAAATCATATGACTCATTATTTAGCCGATGGAATCGCTGGTGTTCTGAACGGGGTTCAGATCCCTTTTCAGGACCAGTGAGTGAGGTTGCAAATTTTCTAGCCTCTTTATACCAAGAGGAATACCAGTATAACTCGGTCAATGCTTACAGGTCAGCCATATCATCAGTACATGACAGAGCAGATGGAGTACCAGTTAGTCAACACCCCATTATCACTAGGCTGATAATAGGGATATTCAATGTAAGATTCCCCATCCCCAGATGTTCTAATACTTGGGATGTACAACGGGTACTCAATTTCCTTCAATCCCAAGGGAAGTCAGAGACACTCCCACTCAAAATGCTGACACTGAAAAGTAGCAATCACCAGATCATCCCAGTCTGCAGACTTATCTCAACTAGACACCTCAAGAATGAGGCCGGCTGAGAATGGGTTTCATTCTTACCATCTGCGTTAGCAAAACAGTCAAGGCAGGGTAAGCCAACAGAAACTTTCTTCTTCCCCTCCTTCTCGCAAAACCCTATACTGTGCCTGGTGGAGACCATCTCAGTATACATAGACAAAACTAATCAGGTACGGGGGAATGAAACTAAATTATTTCTGTCTTTCATCAAACCTCACAAAGCAGTAACAAAGCAGTAAAAGAGAACAGTCTTGGAACATGCTGGGATAAATACGGAAATATTTAGGGCTCACTCCACTCGTGGAGCATCAGCCTCAATAGCAGCTAGAGGCAGAGTTACACTAGAAGATTTTTGAAAGCAGCAAACTGGAGCTCAGAGTCAGTTTTCCAGAAATTCTACCATAAAGAATTAGATCAAGCAGCCTATGGAAGGGCTGTAATCAATCAGAATAGCGTGGGAGAAGCTACGAATAACACAGTTGATATGTGAGACTGAGCCTTCTGAAGTATAATTGTCAGAATGGCTAAGGCCACAAAGTGACTGCAAGCTATTCTAGATTATATGAAGAAGGTGAAGTCGATCATATCAACTGTCCACACCCACCCTCCCAACGGAAGAGGAGGAGCTAATCGAAGGCCAAGGAAGATGGCTGAAGCAGGGGTTTATATAGCATGGCAAGTGGGCGGATGGGCGGACCAAAAGTTATTAGAATTAGTTATTTAACTACAAATTAGCTATAAGTTAAGAAAACTGGCCAAACACAGTTGATATGATCGACTTAACCTTCTTCATATAATGTAGAATAGCTTGCAGCCACTTTGTGGTGTTAGCCATTCTGACAATTGTCCGAAAAAAATTATTCACTGAGATATGAGCCTTCAAAAATTGCACTTTTTACTTTCTACCAATTTACTTCCTGTCGATGGGTGTGGCTAAATGTGACATAATTAAACCATAGATAATAGAGTAATTAAAAGGAATTGGAAACGCCCACACTTTCCTGTTTCACTCAGTGTCCGTATGCAGTAATGGCTCCAGATAGCTCTGTGAATTCAGCAAGCCTCCTCTAGTGCTCCTGGTGGTTGTTAAAAGGTTACTAATTTTCCTTTTATAAAGGCAAAGTGTCACAACAATAAAGACTAGAGTTCTTCTGCATGAAAATCAATCAAATTTACTGAGTGCCTTATGGTTTGCTCCGGCACTGATGCACATGCATGTGACTGTTCACAGCCACATTTTAGAAATTAACATACAGTTACCTTCAAAATTATTTTGTTCTGTATATTCTAAAGCAGAAATATAGACAGCATCTTTATAGGGATAAATTATTATATTTTTTAAAGAATTTTGTTTATAAATGTCTAAATTTTAATTTTCGTCCCATGATCTATAAAGAACAACATACAAGTAAAATTATAAGTCATTGCACTAAAGTAGCACTTCAGTAATCACTGTAGCAATAATTGTTACAGTAGGATCTTCGGTACTGCTACATGGTAGAGGTACGAAAGAATACAATAAATTTTCGCTGAAAGTTTCCATTACTACCACAGGAGTATTGAATAAGATTTGAAAGTGTGCTATTGGCATGCAGGTCTACTTATAGTTGCCTGGTATGCTATAGACTTTCATTGTTTATCCTTTGATGGTGAGTTATAGGTACAAAACTGTTTTTATGGAAGCTATCACTGAAAATAGCCAATTTATACATGGATTGCAGGTGTAATTTATGTATTTCAAAAATTTCAATAAATAGTCGTACCAGTATACAACATTATTAATGACAAGAGCTACCTCAGTTACAAACTACTTTGCAAATAAACCTAGATAAAGTCCTCTGGTTGATTCTCGAGGCAATAAAAATTGATTGAATTCTTTGGACACGGATTACAACGCACATTCTCCATTCATTGCTATGGGATCATGTGAGCCGTTTCCAATCCCTTTTAACTCTAATATCTATGATTAAACATAGAAGTAGGAATGTTTGCAGATAACTCCATTCCTTTATAGAGGAAAAGATCTTTATTCTCTGCATTGTAATGTAATAGCAGTAATTTAAAAATTGGGATCATTAACTTTCATTATTTTAAGCATGCAACTGCAAGAAAGACATGAAGTATGACAGGAAGTAGAAACAGGAAGTGAAGCAAAAAATGCATTTTTGAAGGCTCATATCTCAGTGAATAATTTTTTTAGGACAATGAGAGTTGGAACACATTATTATAATGGTCAGGTAATCATATTAAGACCATAAAATAAATGTAGGTTTAACACCAACTAGGAGGTCTTAAACCGATATAAACAACGAATGCTATTATAGCTGTGCGGCTGCATTGTTAACAATGATGCGACCACTGCCACATGTTGCAATGTGCAGGGGCATTGCGGTGGACTGTGTGTTTCAATAGAGCAGTAATGGCAGCTTGGAATACACTTTAGTCAAGAAGAAGGCTTAAGAAGTGACTGGATGAAGCTATCATGAGCAAACCTCACGCTAATATGACCCTAGGATGGCTTTGACTGACAATGGAGCCAAACTATGAGACCGCTGGATCATGACGCAGTGACCCCAGTGAAGATCTCTCTGGTGGGTTATTCACAGTGTGGAAGAGCAAGAGGAATATCATATTCTTGAAGGCTTAGTGGAAGAAGAGCCAGCAGACCTTTTTCTATTACTATAATAATAGCTTTTGAAATTTTAATCAAAATTATGCTTCTTGGCCCCGACTCGGCCCCGGGATTTATACAATTTTAATACCTCATTAGTCCTCAAAACATCAAAGAGAATTATTCATGAGTTGTTTATATATCCAAAAAGACATAGCGGTTACCCTAAGGCTTTAATACCAAAAAGGAGATAATTAGGCTATCCAGTACCTAAACGTATGCTAACACATAAAGTTGATACTATTTGATACATAGTATTAATGTCAACACTCAACTAATATATGTACCTTTTGAACTAGTTGATCCTGCAGGTGGCATAGCTGGTAGAGGATGTTCACGAGCTATTTCATCAGCTAATGCTGAATTTCTTCCTCCTTCTTTAACAGCTACACACACTCTCCTCCAACAAGGAATACCATAACGTTCGTAATCATAATCTTTTATTAGCCAATACTCTAAAACTTTCTGCAGACAAGTGACAGTATCTCCACGACAATCAGCTTCTATCCTGTTAATTGTGCTTATTTTGAGACGCAAGGAAATGGCAATTTGCTTCCAGCGAGGTGAAAGTTGCTCCATTTTTTCATAAATATCATAAAAGTCCTCGATATCTGCAAAAAATACTATTAAATATCAAATATATCCACAAACTCACTTAGTTCTTTATTGCAAACGTTTATAAAAGGAGCAGAGGAGGAAGTACTAGTACTTGTAGCCATTGTTTGTGGAATGTACACACCCACAAAAAGGTGGTCATCTAGGCGTGGCTCACAAGCTCAGTAGTACTCCGTAGTCTCTACATCTCTGAATAGTATACGGAGTAGACACGTGAGTTGTAATGAGCTTAATGGCGTTCCTCGTGGCGTTCCCTCGAACGTTCCCTGTCCAGTGTACTTGTAGAAAGCTTCTATCCCAGTATCCCTCTCTTCATTTTTAGTAGAACACCATCAGACAATCAGCTCTTGAATCTCATTTACTCAATAAAGGAGTGAGGACATAATGTAATGTTACTAATGTACCACTGCTCAGTGTAATCCAGTAATTAATTGAGTTAAAATTAGATTAAAGATTTAATGAACTGTCTATTATATATGCCAATAATTTCCAGGGGATTAAAAAATAATTCATAAAATTAGACCTAAGGTGGGAATCATAATTTTTTTAGAGGGTATATTTCCTGGGGAAAATATTTCACGAAAATCACCTTTCAACCTATTCACAAGGAAAAATTTTGCAGTTTTCTTCTACTGACCATTATTAGTATAGTAAAAAACAATTTTTGTAGGTAAAAATTTTTGCGAATTTTCTAAAACCGTTAAATTAGCAAAATGAAATCCCCTTGAAATATACCCCCTATACGGTATATGAATTTTTATGTACAATTATTTTGTTCATATTTAAACTGAATTGATATTTACAATTACTTGGAAGTTATTTTTGAAATTATTTGTAAACCTAAGAGCCACATATTAATTTTATTTATAATGTCTCCTCTCCCTCTATCATCTCTCATACATGTATACTCCAGTAGTTCTGAATCAAGTGATGGATCAGATGATCCTAAGACTAATGATGATGAAGGGTCTCTGGATAAGGTTGATTTGGGTTCTCTCTCTCGTGCTATTGCCACCATATCAATACCTGATACTCTACCTGAGCAGGTACCTCTCCTGGTACTCAATAGGAACCCAATGTTCTCACGGTTTGTCAAAATGGTGGAGGTAAGTCTAAATGATTTGTGATTGTTAGTTATACTCTACCATATACTGGGTACTTTTGGATGGGCTTGAATTAGTGAATTTGATTAACTGATCACAAAAAGTCATAATTCAAAAATTTACTGTCAGAATCAGCTCAAATATTCTACATAGCATAAGGACATCAATATGTATCAGAAAATGTAATAAAAATTTTGGGGTGATTTTGGAGCCATTTTTGGAAAAACCATGGGTTATAGTACTAGGAAATTTTCCGAATTTGCTCATTTAAAAAATTAACATAACTCAAAAATTTGAGTTCGGAATCGGCTGAAACCTTCTACATAGCATAAGGACATCAATATGTATCATAAAATGTAATAAAAATTTGGAATGATTTTGGAGCCATTTTTTGGAAAAACCATGGGCTATATAAATTTTCCGAAATTTGCTCATTTTTAAAAATAGCCATAACTCAATAATTTGAGCTTGGAATTGGCTAAAAATTTTCTACACAGCATAAGGACATCAATATGTATCAGAAAATGTAATAAAAATTTGGGGTGATGCCTTTTTTTGGAAAAACCATGGGCTATATAGTACAGGGAAACTTTCGGAAATTTCTCATTTAAAAAATGACCATAACTCAAAAGTTTAAGCTCGGAATCGGCTGAAACTTTCTACATAGCATAAGGGCATCAATATGTATTTTAAATTTTAATAAAAATTTGGGGCCATTTTGGATGATTTTAAAGTGGTTAATAGACTAAGTGGTTAAAAAAATGGACTAAAGTCCCTGTACTATAATAGTACAGAGACATTAGCCAAATTTCACTAAAAATGAAAAGTAGAAAATTTTTCATTTTTGTAATATTTCCTGATACATAATACATGTTCTTATGTTGTGTAGAAAGTTTGAGTTAAATCAAAATTGGATTTTTTAACGAATTTTTTAAGTTCCTCAAAATCGAGTTGAAATTTAAGCAATGTACCATGGGCCATAGTACAGGGTACTGTATACGCCATATATTTTATGAGGATTAAATTTAGCAATTTTTGCTTTTTGGAAAAATTTATGAAATTAAAATCTGTGCTGATTATATAGTAGGTGTGGCGATTACATTAAAATCGCGAAATTTTTATTCGTGAATACAAAAATGCAGCCAAATTGCAAACTTTTATACCCGCGAAATATATGGCATATATGGTATTTTGTCAAGAATACTGGTAGGAGAAAATATTTCATTCTGTTACATGACCATTCTTATCTCTCTCTCTCTCTCTCTTGTCCCACAGAGAGTCATTGGCTCAGATCATTGAGGCTAGTAAAAGAGTTATAGATGATCCTACACATCTTGCTGATTTTGGAGCTGCACTGACCAGTGGAGAATCACATCAAATTCAAGCAGTTCTTGAATGTCCAGACGTAATCACTATTACTATTATTATTATTATTGTTGTTGTTTTTGTTGTTGTTGTTATTGTTTTTATTAGATTCCTGAGCGATTAATGTTAATACTTGAACTACTCAAGAAAGAACTAGCCATTGTAACACTACAAAAGAAACTTGGAAAAGAAGTAAATACATGTATAGAGTGTATGTACATGTAAATGAGCTCATTTCACTTCAATATGAAGAATTGTGCGTTTATGATATTGTAGCCAAATATATTTACAATGGAAAAGATAAAAATGGCAAGCAATGCTATAGAGAAATACAATCTATTTGCTTTGCCACATTTTTAACCCTTATATTCTGTAATTTTTTTTATTTTTAGGTTGAAGAGAAGTTTACTAAAATGCAGAGGAAATATTTATTACAAGAGGAACTGAAAATAATAAAGAGAGAACTAGAAATAGAAGTAATGGAGACTGAGAGAGAGAGGGGGGAGAGGTGAATGGAAGAAGTTGAATAAGTTGTTTTTAATATTAAACAAGTTTTGTGAAAAGATCTTGTCAATGACTGTACCAAAGGAAGTGGAGACTGTGATTGAAGAAGAATTGAACAAACTGTCCTTCCTTGACAACCACTCATCAGAATTTAAGTAAAAAAGAAAGATTTTATGATTGCCTTTTACTTTATCATCCCTGCCTTTTTTGCCCCTCCCTCACTCCCCCCTCCCTCCCTCCCTCCCTCCCTCCCTCTCTCTCTCCCCCCTCTCTCTCCCCCTCCTTCCCTCCCTCCCTCTCTCTTCTAGTGTTACAAGCAACTATCTTGATTGGTTGATGAGTATACCCTGGGGTAAGACCAGTAAAGAGGACTTCCATTTAGAGAGGGCTAAGGTTATACTTGATGAGGATCATTATGGACTCAAGGACATTAAGGACAGGATACTGGAGTTTATAGGAGTCTCAAGATTGAAAGGATAAGTTCAAGGAAAGATACTCTGCTTTGTAGGACCACCTGGTAATGTATTGTACATGTACATGTACTGTCTATTTTATTAATTTATGTTTATTGGGTAATGATTCTATTGGTACTACTGGTAGTGTGTTTATTAATTTATAACTCTTTTATTCTCTTACAATTCTTTTTATAAGGAATATATTGTGCTTTAATTGCTACGTATGTGTATGTACGTTGTACATGTACAAGTACTTTAAACATATTATTTGAATCAGTCTACATGTTATTATATGGTCATGTTTTTTCTTCTATTATGTTCCTCTTCCTCCCTTCATCCCCCCTCTTTCTCTCTCTGCAGGTGTTGGTAATACCAGTATAGCTCATTCACTTGCCCGGGCATTAAATAGAGAAGTAAGACCACACAATAAACTAATACACCAATCACTGACTGACTCTCTCTCTTCGTGTGTGTGTGTGTTACTACTTTAGGTTCAGTGTAGGAGGTATGACTGATGTGGCTGAGATAAAGGGACACAGGAGGACATACATGTATGTTGGTCCAATGCCTGGTAAAGTGATACAGTTTGAAGAAAGTACAGACCGAGAATCCACTCATACTGATCGATGAGGTTGATAAACTGGGACTCGGGTACCAGGTATGGGAGTTTGGGAATGGAATATTGTTGTAGATAATTTTTTTACATGTATTGATGATGCATAATGCTTTATAGTATATGATAGCGTTGGATTTATGGTTTTTTTTTCTTGTTTTTGTTTATTTATTATTCATGTTCTCTCTCTCTCAAAGGTGATCCAGCCAGTGCTTTGTTAGAGTTGTTGGATCCAGAGCAGAATTCTTTCTTTTTGGATCATTATCTTGATGTTCCTGTGGATCTCTCACATGTTCTGTTCATTAGTACAGCCAATACAACTGACACTATACCAGGACCACTCATTGACAGAATGGATATAATACAAGTAAAGGAGCAACTGATACATGAATATATATGTACTTATATTGTGTAGCAAGTTCGAGCTGATTCCAATCAAGATCGGATTTTTTTACGAAATTTTAATTTTGTTAAAAATAAAAAGGAAAGAAATTTCCATTTTTATTACATTTCCTGATACATATACCGTATAGGGGTTATATTTCACTGAAAATAAATTTTGCGTTCATTAAATTCACGAAATTAAATTCCACAAAAGAGGTGTGGCACACTAGGAAAAATGGCTGCAGTGCAGAAGGTAGGATTCGCGAAAATTTATACCAGCAAATAGCAAATCTGAACAAATTTGGGAAATTTTATACCAACAAAATAAAACCTCTATACGGTATGTTCTTATGCTGTGTAGCAAGTGTGAGCTGATTCCAATCAAAATCGAATTTTTATGAGTTTTTAAATTTGCTCAAAAATTGGGCCAAAGTCCCTGTACTATAGTACAGGGTCGTTAGCCAAATTTCATCAAAAATGACAAGGTGAGGATTCTCAGTTTTTATAACACTTTTTACTACATATACATGGTCTTATGTTGCCTACAAAGTTTGAGCTGATTCCGATCCAAATTAGATTATTTAGGAATTTTTAAAGTTGCTAAAAAATCAGGCCAATGAACATGTACTATAGTACAGGGTTGTTGGCCAAATTTCTTCAAAAATTACAAGGTGAGAATTCTCCATTTTTATAACACTCTTTAATACATACATGATACATGTACTTTTGTTGCATATATACATGTAGTTTAAGCTGATTCCGATCAACATTGGATGTTTACATTAAAGTTTATTCATACACCATAGACTATTATATCATTCTTAATCTCACTCTTAGGTCTCTGGTTACATATCAGAAGAGAAGGAAGCCATTGCTCAGAATTACCTGATACCTCAAGCTTGCTCTTCCTCTGGTTTGGAGGATGGACAGGTCCTCATAGAAACTGATGCTCTCCAGTCCCTCATCAAGTAGTACTGCAGGGAGAGTGGAATGAGGAACCTACAGAAACACATTGAGAAGGTTATGGCTGTAATATAAGTCATAATAATGAATGCATACACATGTACATATGTTGTCCTTTGCTTGTTGAACTGTTTCATTATTTATGTAGTGTACATGTAATTGTACAGTTACTTCAAATATTCAGCTAAATATTCCCTATACTTATAATATTATGGCATACCATATATACATGTATGGCCAGGTGCCATTGAGCATGTGCATAATAGCTAATAATGGTGGATTTTATTTTGGCGAATGGCTATCAAAACACCAAATCTGCCCAATTTAACTTTCTCCGAAATTTCCCACTATATGGTACGTCCGTTGTAATTTCAATCTCCTTCATTGTACAGATATTACATAAAGCTGCTTTTAAGGTGGGCATCCACTATGCAGCATTGTTGCTTGCAACTTGTGGTTAAACCTTTGATGTGGTTGGGCAACATGTTGCATGAAGTAGAGAGAGTCTCAACTTCATGCAATATGTTGCACAACCACATCAAAGGTACTTGCAACAAAGTTGCATAGTGGATGCGCACCTTTAAAGTTGTATCACTGTCTCTTCTTCTAATTTAAAAGATTTCGTCGGTCATCCTCTGTTCATTTCCAATCGCCTCTACGAGACCACACCCCCTGGAGTGGTCATGGGTCTGGCTTAAACATCAATGGGAGGCACTACTCTTTATGTGGAGACAGGCATGACTGAGGGGCAGGGCCTGTCAAAGGAGGGGAGAGGAGAGGGGGGCATGACTACCACTGGACAGTTAGGAGATGTAATGAAGGAGTCCACTGTTATTGCTTATACTTATGCTAAGGTAGAGAGGAGAGAGAGAGAAATAACAATGTAAGGTGCTATGATGTAAATTGTATTTTTTGTATTTATTTTAGTCATTTTTGTCTTCAAAAGATCCTACAAATGATTTCCTTGAGAAAGCAAAGTTCATCTCCATGTTCCTGAGGTAAGTAATACTTTCATAATAATAATAATAATGATATTGTTATTATTATTTTTGCAATTATTATTATTGCCATTATTATTTTCAACAATTAATAATGACAGCTGCAACTAATATTATTATTTTATTATGATCAATTTTATTGATTATTATTGTTATTATTATCATTATTTTATTAATTAAAGGGTACTACCCCAAAGGATGGTCCCTTAGCAGGTGTCACTATAGTCTCTGCCCTCCTCTCACTGGCTATGGATCGTCCAATACGTCAGAATGTTGCCATGACTGGGGAACTGTCACTCACTGGAAAGGTATGTACATGTACATGTATGCTGGTATAGTAAATTGACATTTGTATAAACTGTGTAATATACATGTATGCAATATAATATGTTTCATAGTCTTTTCTTTTGTTCAAATTACCATAAATGTTCAAATAAAGGCCGGGCTTGAATAAACGCCTGGTACTAAGAATCTCCAAGTATAGATACGCATATTTTACTCAATGTAAATCCTACAATCTGTGGAGTGTCCAAAATGGCCTAACTTGTTACCTTAAGCCTACTATTTTTAGCGTCTACTAAATTTAGCTATATTAGCGAGAGAGCTTTAAACCGCTAAATTAAATAGACGCCTAAATAATTATAATGGTTATTTTTATAGTTAATTTGGTTAAAAACGCTAAAATTAGTAACGCTAAACATGATTTTTGCTGATTTCGCTAAAATTAGTAGACGCAAATAATAGTAGGCTTAAGGTAAGCTGAGTGCATTGAATCTGGAGGTCCGGGTTCGAATCCCAGTTTTTTCTTTACGCAATTTTTTTGTCCTGGAAAGAAATAAACGCCCTGGCTTTTATTTGAACATTTACAGTAATCAGTGATTTTTTGGGAAAACCATTGGCTATAGTACAGGGAAATTTTCTGAAATTGGCTCATTTTTAATGACCTGGGGGCGAAGCCCCCAGGTTGTTCCTATAATTGATTTCACCATCACGCTATCTATATATATATATATATATATATTTGTATGTCCACACTTACATTTCTTCTATACATGTTGTATTGGAGAAATAACAAGCCTTAGCAACCAACCACCCACGCTCCTTTACGTAAGTGGGTGTGGCCACGACAAGCAAAATGGCGGATTGCTCACGGGACAAAGTTATGAGCTTTCTAACTAGTCAGGCGGGGCCTCGCCTGACTACTTTCTGACAGCAAAAGAACATAGAGATACTGTCTAAAAACTTCTCTAGAAGCATTTGAAGGTAGAGAGAACCTCTTAATAAGTGCCCAGCTATGCATGCAAGGTGGTGAAATCAATTATAGGAATATTTTTTACACTGTTACGCTTATTTAAATGGCCGTAACTCAAAATTTTTAACCCTGGAATTGGCTCAAACTTTCAACATAGCATTAGTACATCAATATGTAGATTTCAGAGCCATTTTTTGAAAAAACCTTGGGCTATAGTACATTTTTATTACATGATCCTCTTGTCCCACAGAGAGTCATTTTGGAGCTGCACTGACCAGTGGAGAATCACATCAAATTCAAGCAGTTCTTGAACATCCAGATGTAATCACTTCAAGTCCACTGTGGCAGGAGAACTGGAATAAAATTGTTGACTTATTTAATTTTGATTAATTTTTATAAAATAATATTATATTAAAAATTTATTAAAATGTCAAAATAGAAAATTCAATGCTATGTTAAAGTAAGTCAAAATACAATAACAACAACAACAACAACAATAATAATATAAGCATAACAATGACAATAAGAATGAGACTGATAATAATAATTTTAGAATAAAAAGAGAAAAGGAAAGTAGAGAGAGAAATGGTGACAAAATATTTAGAACAACAATAATAATAATAACAAATTAAGTGTATATACAAAATAAAGGTACATGTGTACATGCTATAATAAAACAATTTATTAATTAAGGAAGAAAGGGAAGACTAACAAAAGAAAGCAAAGAGTAGCTCCAGTGATACGTGTTAATGGAGAATATATTAAAGAAGAAGGATTGGTGATATTGGTAACCATTGGGGTGTATGTGTGGGTATATGGTGTAATGGTGATAACTGCATGGTAAGGTGGTTACGGTTAGGATAGTAATATGGTGGTACAATGTCTTTGGTGTACATGATAATGATAAGATGACAATGGTGGGTAATTGTCAAACCTAGGATAAAGGTATTAAGATTAATGGTGATCTAAGTTAAGATATTACACAAGTAATGTATAGGTGATATTGGTAGCCATTGGTGTATGGTGTAATAGTACAATGGTGATACAATGGTATGTAAGGTAGTGGGATGGTGATAAGGTGGTGATACTGTGTAATGGTAAGATGGTGTTTAAGATACAATATCGTATAGGATTGGTGATATTGGTAACCATTGTGGGTATATGGTGTAATGGTGATGATGGTACTAAAGTGGTGTAAGGTAGTTAGATGGTTGTAAGGTGGTAGGATAGGTGTATTGGTAATATGGTGATAGGTTACATACTATGGACTAATAAGGTGGTAATATGGTGATAAGGTTGTGTTTAAGATACCGTATCTTGTCCTGGTGGGTCGACCT